CACACAAACACACACACACACACACACACACACACACACACACACACACACACACACACACACACTCATCATCTGAAAGCAACAATTTGCCAGAGAAACATCTCAGTCAGACTGAGGAAACCATCTGTTCCCCTCACGGCCCCACACACACTCTCACACACACACACACACACACACACACACACACACACACACACACACACACACACACACACCCAATCTCCCTCACACCTCTTTCTCACTTTCTCTCACTCGCTTTCCCACAGACTTCATCTATCCATCGACAGGAGACAAGAACAAAGACTCCATCATCTACATCATCATCATCATACAAAACACCTGACAGACAGAAAGACAATCAGATGATAGATAGATAGATAGATAGATTCTGTACGTCTTCTGTAAGGGCTAGGTTTAGGTGTAGGGTTGGTGTAGGGCGATAGAAAATACAGTTTGTACAGTATAAAAACCATTATGACTATGGATAGTCCCCGTAAACCCCATACCAACATGTGTGTGTGTGTGTGTGTGTGTGCGTGTGTGTTGGGGTGTAGAGGTTGTGTTCAGATGAAGGTGGGTGGTATCAGTGTGTGTCCCTGAGAAAGTCTCACAGTAACCTTGTCCTAATTACATTCTGCAGTGCTGCTTTTGGCCTATTTCCACAGCTCCAAATATATTCTCTCACACTCTCACACTCTCTTAGACACACACACACACACACACAAACACACATTAACGCATCAATAATACACGGTTACATGAAGACAGTCACGCCGCTGCTGTCAGGTAATATAGCGGGATGCGAGTCCTAACCAGGTGTGACGCGACACGCATACAGCTACATCTGTAAAACATTCACAGCCAATCAGATCACATCTGATATTTAAAATACATTCACACGTACAAGCGAGAACAACACAAGCTCAAGTTAGAAAGCGAGGGACCAATAACCTATGCTGCTGTTTAAGACAAAAACTCATTAACACAAGAATATTATCACTAACGCCTGGTAAGAACACAGTGTCAGAGACGGTCAAATGTGTTATTAGCTCATTATCTGCTTCAAGTGAAGCGTTTCCTGCATGTGGACTAGAAAAAGTGTGCTGGTGTACTAATAACAAGACAACTTGCTTTTGCTGTCTATATTCCTCTGCTGTCTGACATGAGATTGATCAAGTGTGACCAGCTTTCTGTAAAGAGGCTGAAAAAAAAACATTTTGTTTGGTCTCCACTTCTTCCTCCTTTAATGTTGGAACAAAATGTCAAAATCAGCATGAGATCCTTTAATTACAGCGTGTTTGCTGTGGGCATGTGCCATATCTCTGCATCTGCACCAGAGGGTTTGTGTGTGTGCGTTTTTGCTATAAACTATTCATAATTTAAAGTAGTTCAACTAAATATACTCCCTTGATAAAGTAGGTATATGACAAGCTACTAACAAAAAATATATACATTTATTTAGGGGGGCAATCTATATCAGATGAACAGATTAAAAACAAAAAAACAAGAATGTTTTTTCTGTCAGGTAGGGTGACAGCATTAACTATGAACAAATTATAAAATGAATAAAAATGTAAAAATGTAATTAAGCAACAGTTATAAACCACAGTATTTATGCATATGTTAATATGAATGTTTTTCATGTTTTATCAGTATTTATTAATACAGTGTGCACACTAATATGTATTTTATTCATATTTTTATTTCAAATGGCTTCAAAAAATTAAGCTTTGCATCACATAAAAATATATTTGTCTTCATAATCTTTCAAAAATATTTTTTGACTCAAACAAAACCAGTTACTTTGTTACCACAAGTACATTTTTAGATTATTTATCATCATATTTTTACATTCACAGTTTATATTAATATACATATATTTAATATTATTTAGAGCAACTTCTGTGAACACTATTGAGTGATGACTCTCTGTGGAATCAGTCAATGGTTTTTGAATCACTTCATTGAAAGTGAATCATCTGAATGAACTGATTCACTAAAAAAGATAGTTAGCTAGTTATATTATAACTACTGTGTTATAGTATACCAGTAGTGATCAGTCACACAGCATTTATGGCATTTTAAGGTGACTGGCCCAAATAATGTTTCCATAATTGATGCTGTCCCCAAACTCAAGTGCTCATAGTATTGATCATATCATAGGATGAGTTGAATTCAATCCTAATCAAACCCATCTGAGCCAGGCTTTCTCTAGGGGTGAATTAAGGATATCTGAGACATCTTTTTGCAATGAAATTCTGAGTCATTCTCCCAGTCATTCTGAATTAACCCGTATTTATATCAGACCTCTCTGGCTTCAGCAAAACATACAAATCATCCATTTCAGTCAAACACTATTAGACAGAGTAATAAAGAGATGGGGAATATTTTAGGTGAATGTGCTCTACTAAATACAATATGCCAAAAATGGATGCAAAGTTTTGTCATTTGTTGGAAGACACAGCTTGTTACTGGAAAAGCCAAAGTACGTATATGAAAACAACTGACCTACTGTCAGGGTAAAATGTGATTACTTTTAATTAGTTAGTGCACAACAACGTGCATAAAAAAGGTTCCAAACCAGAGTTACAAAAAATAAATAAATAAATTGAGCAAAAAAGCTCATTTATTTCTCAAGTGCTTAATGATATAACACGATACAAGGCCAAGCAATTATTTCATTGAGATAATAATGAGCTCTTTCAAAGAGGCCATGTTTGCATAATGTGCTCACTGTGAAAATTAATAAGCAGCATCTGAATTTTAAAGTCCAAATTTACCATTTTAATGCAAACGTGTGCTGTGCAGCCGAGGACTCGACAATCAGGTGAATGCAAAGGACAGAAGATGCTGATTAGCAAAATCTTTTTATCTAAAGCAAATTAAAGTTCACTCATAACGATGGTGATGGTACCAGACGGTGATACTATGGTATTTTGACATGAAACGATGGCATTTTTAGTTAAAAATCAAGAACTAAAAAGAACTAGAAAAAGTAACTAAAAATTTAAATGAAATATTTATTGATATTAATGAATTGAAAATATGAATAATGCCATTTTTAGTTCAAAATCAAGAAGAGCATGGCATTACCCTCATGGCAGTGTCTAAAAAACACAGTTGTTAACCAAAAGCCATGGTACTGTATTGTATAAAATATATGTATATACTGTATATAAAATCTTATTTATATTTTATTTTATATTTATATTTTATTTCAGCTGTGCCAAAGTATCTTTTCTCATTTTCTTTTGGAGTAACTTAAAATACTACAATAACTAAAATCAAAATCAAATATATATAAAAAATGTGCATATAAAATTTGTATATAAAGACATGCATACAACTAAAACTACATAGACACATAAAAAAAAAATAAAAAAAAACATGAAACAAAATTACAAAAAAGTAACTAAAAATTAAAATGCAAACTGAAAATATAAATATAAAAATAAAAATGAACAGGACATTGGAAAAAATTAATTAAAAACTATAATAATGTATCAGTGATATTAAAATAATATTTGTAAGGTGTGGTGAGCTACTAAAACATACTTACATTTGTAGGTCATCCTAATTCTTTGCGCCAAAACCAGATGGTGAAATTTCCTGTTGAAACAAAGAGTTATTAGCATATATGCAAAACAAATATAGATCATATTCATGAGATGACTGAAGTGACTGAATTGTTCGTCCTGAAAGACATGTTTCTAAAAACAGCAGTGTTGCTGTCATGGGACGGTTGGATGTATTATGGATGTGTAACAGGAACACAGAAATCACTCTCATCAGTCTTTACCTGTTTCTCTTTGAGCTCACCTTCATGCATATTTACTGCAACATCAACTTTCATGACCTGACACGCCACATCTGAGTAATATGCACATGTCTGTGTGCTAAAGATTCGTCTCCAAAACCATCCATATTAATGGGATTATAGTACAAAACAATATTAACAAACATGAAAAACACATACTCTCATCGCAGTGAACCACTGATTCACAACAACGGCTGAGAAATCTACTACATGAGTGACAAAAAATTATCTTTATATACTTTCTGTAAACACTTTTGGGGTTCACATTGAAAAGTTTAAAAGTTTGGGGGTTTTTATTCATCAAGGATGCATTAAATTGATCAAACGTGCCAGAAAAGACGTTTATAATGTTACAAAAGATTTATGTTTCAAATAAATGCTGTTCTTTTGAACTTTCTGTTCATCAAAGAATCCTGAAATATAAAATGTATCTCAGTTTCCACAAATATATTGTGCAGCACAACTGTGTTCAACATTGATAATAATCAGAAATGTTTCTCGAGCAGCAAAGCAGCATATTATACTGATTTCTGAAGATCATGTGACTCTGAAGACTGGAGGAATGATGCTGAAAATTCAGCTGTGCATCACAGAAATACACTACATTTGACAAAATATTACAATAGAAAATGGTTATTTTAAATTGTAATAATATTTCACAATATTACTGTTTTTATTGTATGTTTGATCACATAAATGCAGCCTTGGTGAGCAAAAGAAACTTCTTTCAAAAACATAAAACATTTTACAGATTCCAAACTTTTGAACAACCCAGACAAACACAACTAACACAACAAATATAACACATGGACAGAAAGAAATGATCGCTTACAATTGCCTTCTTGTGATATTTGTGTGTGTATGTGTGTGTGTGTTTGTTTGCAGCCAGTCTTACTACATTCCTAATTAATCCAATCAATCTTCTCACAGACTTAATTGTGTCACGGATGCAAAAATGATTACAGGGTCAATGTGATGATAAGACAATCTCAGGCAAGACAACACACACGCACACACACACACACACACGCACGCACGCAGCTTCTAGCTTGCGTTAATTGCTGTGTTGTTTTTTTTCTTCTATTTTTATTCTCTCATTCGCTTTGCTGATTCTTTAGTCTGCTTCAATGAGAGTATGTAGCGTCTGGACCATGCAAACACACAATATATATTTTGTTATCTAGATTTAACAAATACTCTGTAACACCCCAGGAAGCTGAACAGGCCCCTGGTTCTATAGCAATGCTGACACCCGATACGTTTACGACCTCCTGGAATTTAGGTGAAGAAAATTGCTTCCTTGCCCATAAGGAAAATCCACAAGGGAAGGACTTTTCTTTGCTAATTAATTAATAGGAAAACCTTTCTTTGAATGAACACACATGATCCTTCAGGTCATTGGGTATATTATTGTCATCGTGTATTTTGTCTTTGAAATTGTATACTGTGATGCAGGTTTATAATCGAAACACACTCCTGTCATCCTTTCACTATTTGTAATCCTACCTTGTCTAGTATCTATGAATTCGCCTTCTTATGATCGAAACAAGCGTGTATATTATATATTGGTACATAGGCAATATATATTAGGGTCCTGAGAATCTTTAGTAATTTCGATTCAAGTCCATTTGCAAATTACCATGCTTAGAGACAAAGGGTCGTAAAACCCTCCAGCAATTGCCACCTCCCGCTCGGAATTTCCATCTTTCTCATTGGACAAGCCCATCTTGAAAGGCGGGGATCTTCTCCGACCTTAAAGGCCCTGCTCCAGGGACCCTCCCAGTTGGTGGTTTGTTGGAATTCTGAGAGGCGGTGAGACAAACGCTCCCGGTAACCCTAAGCTCGAGTTGTCACGTCCTGTTAAAATGTTTGAGGGTTCATCTAAGTCTTGATTTATTAAAGCAGAACCGCAATGTCTCGTTTGTTTGAAAGCGGCCAGATACTGAGCCTCTTAAAAACCAATTGTGCTTCGGGCTGCGTTCAGAGACTCACTTCTTTCTACATGTATTACTCGGCTCCGTCAGGATACCGCGCTTTATTGAACTTGAAATAAACTGCAAACAATCCACGTCTTCAGGCTTTAGATGTTTAATGAGGCAGTTCAGAGCGCCTCTAATTGGTGTTTGGTGAGTTTTTTTGAGATAGCACTTTAATTTCTTTCTTTGAGCAGAATAAATGTAGTATACAGCGTTGAGTAAGTTTCTCAAAAAAAGTAATCCACTATAAATGACTACTTCAAAATTGCAATTTGATTACATTACTGATTACTGCATTTAAAAAGTGATCAGATTACTAATTACTTTACTTTCAAGTTTATTTTACTTTTCAAGTTTTCAAACCTAGAAAATACACTACAAAGTCAAACTCATGGTTCTTTCAGTAATTTAATATTGACTTAAAAATCACATAAATATCAAAACAGCAATTTGAACGATCGCTTGCATCTTCTCCTGATAACAGAGAAAAGAACTTAAAATGTTCCATAATTTTTAAATATACAGATAAGAGAAATGCATCATTTGAAACTGTAAAGGGTTTGTGCTTTTGTAAAATAAAGAAAACAAACAGGATGTGCTTTCTGCCGTCTCGGTCTCTGTGAACTTCTTTCTGAAACGCATCACAAAAATGAATGAAAACTCAGCGAATACTTGACGCACAGACATGAGAAATATATCTATAATCTATAATCTATCTATAAATATATATTGAAAACAAATATCCTCTGATAAACCAACGCGAGGTCCAGTCTTTCCCGTCTGAGCTCATTATCATTTCTGTTGAGTAAGTCATTTATTCTTACTTGTATTAGTGTTATTGTGACATAAACTTGTACGCATTTTACTAGTTGGACTTTTTCCAAATTATAATGCCAGACTAAAATATGCAAAATCTTGACATATGATAGGCAACCTTTCATTTAAATGTTGTACGACTCATCTGCATTTTAGCTCGCATTCTCCGGTGATTCATTAAAGGGCATACTGACGCGCAAAACATGATTTTAAAATGCATTTACTTCATAGTTTTTCTTAACACGGCATAACTTAAGTAACAATTTTATTGACATTAGTAACTGTAATCAAATTAAATCAATTAAAAATGTAGCGCGCTACACAGCATTTTAATGCGTTACATTTTATATTTATTTAATTTGATTACAGTTACCCAACTCTGATCTTCTAACAGTAATTTCGAACATTTTGTGCTCATCTCCAACTTTGATCAATCAGAAAGTGGATTTCTTTTGCTGTAACCCACAACATCTCCAGCTCCTGAATTCATGCCAGACTCTCGCTGACATGAAAACACTTCTCCTCCTGACCTCCTCCCACATTTGTCCTGAATCTGTGCTCAGCTTAAAAGAGTTGAGCTTTGAACTTTGGTCCCCGCTGATATCATATTTGGCCAAATTAAACTGCTCTGCAGGGAATAAAACCACCTTTTTTTGTTTTCATTTGTTCTAATGGTCACGTGATCATGATCCATGAGTATTTTGGTTTAACTAGTCCTATTATATAAACCGAAAGGGTTTGCGCTCCATGCTTGGGTTCTTTCATACACTTCAGACCTACATTGAGCCACTATAAGTTTGTAATTAGGAAAGGGAAGCTCGCAAACCTCACTGACATTCCAGTCAGCATTTACACTGATAATTCATCCAAAGATGAATATTTACTCCCCCATGTTATTCCACATCCGTATGACTTAGATAGTTTGAAAAATGTGTGTGTGTGTGTGTGTTTTGTCCATACAATTAAAGTCAACTAGGTTCAGTGTTGTTTTGAACCTCACTGACCTTCATTATATGGACAAAAAATACTTATCTTAATAAGTATCTTAACTGCAAAAAGTGATTGTCCAGTGATTTTGTTTTCCAGTAAAAATACCTAAACATTCTTAAATCAAGATACATTTGTTTGGGATGCAAAATACTAAGATCTATTTTTTTGAAATATTAATCAAAATTAAGTGAGCTTGTGCATAAAACAAGAAAAAAGATCTACCAAAGGGGAAAGAAAAATAAAATAAATTCAAAGGGAAAACAAATTTATTTTTCTTATCCCAATGGCAGTTATTTTTTCTTGCTTTAAGCATAACTCACTTCATTTTGATAAACATTTCAGAAAGCAAGACTTTTTTTACTTGCATTGATTCATCTGTGTCCTGCAGGAAAAAAGAAAATCACACAGGTTTGGACACTTTTGAATTGTAAGAATTTTGGAAAATGTCATTGTTGTGTGGCATCCAACCTTTTTCTCTAATCACATTCAATCAAACATGCAAACTCTGCAGATTCAGTAGCAGGACAGGAAACACCAACAGATTATTTGAGAATAATGTTCATTTGGAATCAATGCAGACACTCAAGAACCATCAAAAGAACTAAATATCATGAAAATCTAGTATTTTTTATGGATTTTTTTTTTAATAAGAACCAGCTCTCGATTCCATCCCTGTGGTTAAAAGATCAAACCAGTGTCACCTCCAGGTGCAAAAACTCCTGCATGATCCTAAATGATCAACTGGCCTCCATTAAGCACAACCGCCCTGCTGCAGGCTCTTCATGACCTATGATATATTGAGAAACAGACCCTCTTCTGTCTTGTGTCCTGGTTAAGGCTCTAGTTATATTACGTCTAAATCACAAAGCTGCAGCCCGACTCACATTCACCCTCCAGAATCTCTTTGTTCTGGTCTCTGGTGCCTGTAGAGATATCAGTCGAGTCATTCCTGGCCTGCGGTGCATTAACAATCCTGATACCTACAGGACAAGATCAAATAATACAACCCT